ACCTCCAAACTTTCTTATGATTTAAAAACTCCAAATGTTAAGGGCCAAACTGTCCCCTCTCACCAACAACAGGTAATTAAAAATACGTAATGACCGCCTTACTTGTAAGTCTTTATCCCTACAGTGCATGTTAGATGAATAGTGAAAATCAAGCACCTGGGGCTAGGATGCCTGAAGTTTATAAGCCAAACAGAGCACTTGGCATGTAGCTGTCGCCTGCTAAGTCATGAGGAAAACACCGAAATAAGGAAAATCCTAAATACCATCTATCCAACAGCACACTCAGGGCAATCAGGGCTGACCTCTTTCCTAAAATTAAGCACTTGCACATCTTCTGCTGAATTTGAAATTAATAGGGAAACAGACTCTGTACCTCCTGATACCTAGGGGAATGCTCAAAGGCTATTAGGTAAATGGACAATTCCTTCTCCTTCAAGTATATTATAAAAGCAAGAGATGGCTTGCAGCTGATTTTTGTGAGTTACCTACAGAGGTATCTATCTCAGAAACACATATTACTTCAGAAGTACATAGGTACACAGAAGGCCAACTGCATTGAGCACCACGTAAGACTAATTGGATGGACCCTCAGTGTTCTGGTCTCAAGCAGGGTAGAAGCATGATCTAGATGCTGAGTTGCTCAGCCCAGTAAAGATTTGGATGAAGGAGTTGCTTTAAAATGATACAGGTAATATAATATAAAAAAGAAAAGTACTTATGGAGTTTAAATGATGCCAGACTAAACTCAGAAGAGCTTTTCAAAATAGAAATTTTGGACTTAAATGCCTGACCTGACCTAAATCTGACTTCAGGTTCCTACATTAAGCAATTCCACAGGCAGGATCCCGGCCTGCTCTTTTTATTGGTATCATCGCACTTCTATAGGAGCAATACAGTGCTTACCCAGAAGAAGAGCTCCTGCCTCCAAAGTAATTCCCCTAACAGCAATAAGCACAGGGTCATGACCAGAGTCAGAGCTATCCTCATCCTCGCAGTGATGAGCAGAGAGAGAAAACAGCACAGTTACAGAATTTGTGCATCCTCTCTTACGCCCTCTCATGTTGCCTCACTGGATCATTCAAAATGGCTCACCCACATTTCCATCTTCCTCTCCACCGCTCTCCCACCCCGCCACTTCTCTTCTCCTCCTTAGCCGGCTCTCAGGACTCCTGTTCCAACATTGCTCTCTGCACCAAGACCAGACACACAAGGCGACATAAACCCATTCATAGCAACCTCAGAGTCTGGGATAATTCCAGCCCATCTCACACAATCGATGCTGTGCACATCCAAGTGTCTGAGGCCATTTTTTCTCCTGTCCAAAGTCATGGCCATTGACTGGTCAAGACAAATCTTATACCCTAAAGCATGAAACCTTAGCAGGGCCTTAGTTCTCCAGTTCTCACACTGAGTAAACAGTTGTTCCTCACCTCTCTGCTATATCTCTGGAGGATGCTGTTTTGGCAGGAGATGCAGAGGGCAGTTGATTTCCCAGAGGTGTTGGCCTGAGCAAGGCTTCCCTCCCATTCCCTAAGTTAGGTAGGGCTTTTCCTTAGAACTGTGTTGTAGCTTTGAAACACAATATCTGGGTATTCATGATGCACATGGTTTGGGGGACAGAATCCCTGCAAGAAGGGGCTTGGTGATGAGATGTAAGATGGGGTAAGTGTGTTCCAGCTTTAGCCTCATTCTGCTTTTCCCTTTTGGGAAAGAATTATTCTGCAGCAGCTATAACTACCATGAATGTCACGACAGTCACAACCCAGCTTCATTCTTTCTCCATTTCCGTCTCTAATGTCATTTTGAAGCTGTGAAAATTTCTCTGAGATATAGCAGAAATGTACCTTTAAGTAAGTGTTCATTTACTGGTATGATTCACTGCTGCCTACAGGAAACAGGAGAGACTGTTGTAACTGTGACATAAAGTTGACAGTGTATAGAAATTAACCCATGGTGTGTAAATGGCTATGAAGGACCATGGCTGGCTCTGAGCTCTCCACGAAGCCCACAGTTCATCACTTATCTTGTGACACTGACATATTTGGGCTCTGTGGACCTCTCCAATTTCTCTCTCTCTACGAGCCAGAAGGTAGTCATAATGTAGGTTGGGAGCATGACATTACTGTTTCTCACGCTAAGCAACTGCAAACTGCTCCCAGGAGGATGCCTATTTATTACTGGCTCTGTGCCGTGAAAGACTGACCTAATGAAGCAATACAGAGCAGCTGATGTTGGCAGTTCTTGCGGTATGGACAATTAGAGGTGCATTTATTGGCAAAATATTTGTGCCCCAAAGGCTACCACATACAGATGCCCTGCCTTGGTAATTCTGTGGTGTGGAGTTTTTATTTGGCCGCCCTTTCAAAACCACATGTAAGGTTTGCATTTGAATCCATTAAGGTTGCAACTGAGTTCTATTTTAAAAAAATAAATAGATCTCTAAACACCTCAGTTGCAGCTCTGTTTTAATTAGTATGTTTTAACCAGTGTCTCCTAATGGTAACATATAAAGAATATCTGCAATATTTAGTGTACCAAATAGAAAATATTGTGTATGTCAAGCTAAAACATACCACTTTTGTAGTTTTTTACTGCCTTCAGAAATGACTAACAAATACAGGGGCCTAGAGGAAAATCTAGTATCTGAGAGGATTAATTGTCTCTTTTTTAACAGAGTGACATCTTTGGCATGTGAAAAAAATGTTAGCCCATTTTCAATGAAGATTATGAAAATGTGGTTATAAGCTGTAGACAAAGAGCAACATGCATCTGACCAAAATTAAACATAGATATAAAATTTGATATAAATGTCTATATTTAGACATCTATATTAGATATCCCAAAATATAGAGGTAGATATCTGACCGAATTAACTGTCTAAAATCCATGGAGTTAGTGGAGAGAAAGTAGCAGAGGTATGGTCGAGTCTGGTTCTTTCTCCTGTAGGTGTCTAATGCAGATCAGACCAGTCATGTTATAATAGTGCCTAAATCTCACCACCGAATGCGAAGGGAAGCCCAAGTGAGCAGCTCAGATGTAAATATCTACTTTGCAGATGTTTAAAGACAGTTGAAATGATTCCCATACACTCAGAAACTGAAAAGCATCATGTCTCCTTGTTGTAATACTCAGAGGCAGGTGAAATCGTTGGAGGACTAGAACCCCTAGTGGGTATTATACACATATTCCTTCTTCCCCCCCACATACCGATTGCATCCATCTGTCTAACTATCCAGCTATCTGTCTCACAAAAGTAAAAAGAACAAAAAGAAGAAATCAACTCATAACCTCCAAACTTTCTTATGATTTAAAAACTCCAAATGTTAAGGGCCAAACTGTCCCCTCTCACCAACAACAGGTAATTAAAAATACGTAATGACCGCCTTACTTGTAAGTCTTTATCCCTACAGTGCATGTTAGATGAATAGTGAAAATCAAGCACCTGGGGCTAGGATGCCTGAAGTTTATAAGCCAAACAGAGCACTTGGCATGTAGCTGTCGCCTGCTAAGTCATGAGGAAAACACCGAAATAAGGAAAATCCTAAATACCATCTATCCAACAGCACACTCAGGGCAATCAGGGCTGACCTCTTTCCTAAAATTAAGCACTTGCACATCTTCTGCTGAATTTGAAATTAATAGGGAAACAGACTCTGTACCTCCTGATACCTAGGGGAATGCTCAAAGGCTATTAGGTAAATGGACAATTCCTTCTCCTTCAAGTATATTATAAAAGCAAGAGATGGCTTGCAGCTGATTTTTGTGAGTTACCTACAGAGGTATCTATCTCAGAAACACATATTACTTCAGAAGTACATAGGTACACAGAAGGCCAACTGCATTGAGCACCACGTAAGACTAATTGGATGGACCCTCAGTGTTCTGGTCTCAAGCAGGGTAGAAGCATGATCTAGATGCTGAGTTGCTCAGCCCAGTAAAGATTTGGATGAAGGAGTTGCTTTAAAATGATACAGGTAATATAATATAAAAAAGAAAAGTACTTATGGAGTTTAAATGATGCCAGACTAAACTCAGAAGAGCTTTTCAAAATAGAAATTTTGGACTTAAATGCCTGACCTGACCTAAATCTGACTTCAGGTTCCTACATTAAGCAATTCCATAAAGTCACTAAAGTTACACCAGGGAGAAATTCAGCCCTAAGTGACATGATTTTTGGCATGTAATTTGCACCTTTTCTAGAACCGAAATATTATTGCACTATCATTTTCAAGACCATTCTAAAGCTGCGTATAACCACTCCATATAACACTATATATTAATCTTTTGAGCAGAAGGTCAATATTTTAAAAACTTGATTCATATTAACTTAATATTAAGCAATTGGATTATTTATGTATCTTATGGGTAAATATATAACAGCTCATCTGAGAAGATACTGTTTTAAAGAGTGAAGTCTATTTAAACAGCAGATTCTGTGCAAGAGTTAATCTCTGAAGATCTGCCTTTAAAAATATTGACGGCAGAGATGTTAATTTCCAAATAAAACAATTTATATTCTTAAAGCAGGCTACATCTTTTCAAATTCTGGTAGAAACAGGCAGTCAACTTGCACATATCATTAAACTTCAAATTCCCCTGTAAATGACCCCCAAAGCATCCAGAAAGTTCAATATATTTTCTCTGAGGCTAGTTGATGTAGGAAGATTTTCATGAGACGTTTTATCTTCTATCATCAGTTCAGTGATGTAAACAGTGGTTGATTAAGCCTGCACTCCTTTCAGGTTGATATACCTGACTGAAAAAAAAAATAAATCTCACAGCTGGAATTCTTCCTGAAAACTAAAATAGATGACAAAGTAAAAGACCAGTCTTCTATAGACACTCAATGAAGACAGGCTTCGAGGGGTTTTCTATACCAGAGATTACTTTACACCCCAGGACAAGACAGAAACAGCAGATTTCTGCAGCTGAAGACTGCAATCACAGCAGAATAAGGAAAATAACAACAACAACAAAAAAATACTTGTTGAATCACTTACACTGGTTTTCCTTTGGATTCACAAGTCAAAATTATAGATTGTCCTTCTTCAGGCCATGAATTGGAGGAAATGATTTTAACTAAAGGTGTATCTAGGAAGAAAAAAAATAGACATCTTGTTGATATACACAAAAAAGATTTATTATCTAAGAATACATTCTTCTTATTTTATTCATTTACAAAAGACTATATCATAGATTTAATTTACACTTGGAGATGCTTTTATATGGAGCCTTGTGCAATTTTCATTGTCTTCAGGAAGGCAATAAAAATGACCAATAGAACTAAACCAGTAACTTTTTATATGCCAAGGAAACACAGATAGAAAGCACGTGTATACACAGAGGAAATAACTTTTTACTTTCTGTATTCAATGCAAATACTCCATACAACTATTCCAAAGTCTGATATCTAACAACGAAATAAAAAATATTGAGGATGAATAACAAGTACTCTATGCAATTGTTTCTTTGTCTATTTATAGGTTGATATGATGGAATGTTGCTATTAGAGGAATGAATGCAAGCATATACATTTGAATAAGAACACTTTTATTGTTGCAGAAGCTTGAAACTCATAATAAGAAAGCTACAATGGGCTTTCAGATAAAATACCTTGTTACAGGCATTTTACAGGATATTATTTCTGAAATGCAATAATGCTGCCCCTAAAACAGAACATTCTTTTTTTTAAAATAAAATTCACAAAAAGAATGTTTCAAATATCTGCAAAAAGCACTATATAAAAGTCTATAATCTGTCCTAAAAAAATAAAAATATTATTCCTATACATTAGAATTAACTTCATAGTTTTAATTGCAAAAAGATACACAATCGAACTACTGTGAATTCATGCAGAATAAAACATTTGCAGTAGATCTTTAACTTTTAAAACATTTTGCCAGCTGGCTTTCAAGGATATATTCTCATAGTCAAAATATTTTACATGAGTTAGGGGGGCACCTCTTATAAGGAAAAAAAGGACCTCAAAGAAAGAAACATCTCTATACAAAACAGTTTTTTCCTTAAGAGAAAGAATAAAGAGTTAATAGTCATAGTGAGGAAAATTTTCAGACTCAATAGGAAAATGTAAATTCTTGTTTCCTCCACAGTTTCCTAATACAAAACACATGTCTTCATCTATGGCACAAGAAATACTTTAACCTGCAAATCTAGGGTATCGTAAGTTTTGTCTCATCCAATTTGCAGTTCCTATTTTCATTAGCAGTGAGGTAGTGACACCACAGATATCCTATTATCAAGCAAATGTGAAAGAACATTTTGCCGCTGGCTTTCAAGGATATATTCTCATAGTCAAAATATTTTACATGAGTTAGGGGGGCACCTCTTATAAGGAAAAAAAGGACCTCAAAGAAAGAAACATCTCTATACAAAACAGTTTTTTCCTTAAGAGAAAGAATAAAGAGTTAATAGTCATAGTGAGGAAAATTTTCAGACTCAATAGGAAAATGTAAATTCTTGTTTCCTCCACAGTTTCCTAATACAAAACACATGTCTTCATCTATGGCACAAGAAATACTTTAACCTGCAAATCTAGGGTATCGTAAGTTTTGTCTCATCCAATTTGCAGTTCCTATTTTCATTAGCAGTGAGGTAGTGACACCACAGATATCCTATTATCAAGCAAATGTGAAAGAGCATGACAATATGACCCTACAAAATCAAATGGAAAAAAATGATATGCTGTAATGATATAATTTCTTATTGAGATGCTAATAGTCCTGTTAAACACTAAATGGCATACAAACGATTAAAAACGTTGGAAGCATTTTTCTAACTTTGATTTTTATTTTTGCCATATCATGGTGTTTCAGCATGGCACAAGACAAGAAAAGGGGAAGGCTTAGTGTAGGCTTGTCATAATTCCACTGAAACCATTGTCAGCATCGTTTAGCTTTCAGTACAGCTGCACTAACCTTACACCAGTAGCAAATCTGTTCCACAAGTTCATATTTTTAAGGACCCTGCAAACCATTATGCAGGTGACTAATCCTTTGGAGGTCGTGCTGGCATTTGCTTCATTTTTAGCACATGCTTAAGGCACTGACCTCAAGTGCCTTAATAAATCAGGGCATCAAGTACTTCTGTGATTTCAGTGGTGCTATTGAAGATGAATAAATTACTCTCTTGACTATACATTGAACCAGAGGAACAAATTAGTCTCAGATAGGAATACATGAAGAATTTAACTGCGGGAGGGAGACAACTAATGCAATGAGATCAAGAGGTTTCCAGAGAAATATGAAAAAGAGCTAAACTTTGATGGAAGTAATCATGATAGCCACAGGTGAAGAAAGAAATTAAAGGCCCATCTAGCTAGCATTATTGGCTTAAATATTTAAGAATGATCAGCATTTTATGCATTACTGTAAATGACCCACATAAAATAGAAGAGGGGACTTCAGACAATTAAGCTTTCATTTGCATGGATCAATGCAGTGCTGTTTCCCCCAACTTGAAGTTCCCATTCCTACTTTACGTAATGCCCCAGACAGCTCTCTGTTCTCCATGCACTTCTAAATAGAGCTTACTACACAGAATAAGAAAGGTCTTACATTTATGTTTCACTCTCTAATGCATAATAAGGTAGTGTAGGAAATATATTCCCTTGTGGTTTTCCCTACTAATTGACTTGTACAGTAACTACTTGTTTCTTTAAAACAGGAAACGCAGGGATTAATTCAATATATAGTTTTTAGGGAAGCTTACGATTCACAGTTTTTGTATTTTATTAACAGTCCTTTTTCAAAAACTAGTTGAAATTCTATTTTGGGTGCTTCATTCTCAGTGTTACTGTTTCTACTTTATTTTCATGCTGTGCTTGATTTCTCTCTAGAATTAAAATGTACACTTACAAGGGGAAAACTTTTAAGACAAACTAGTCCTCCACTTTCACATTCAAATCAATATTTAAAATTAGAAGAAACCTTTAAAAAAATTGCATCAAAACTAACCTAAATATGTTATTTTAACAAAGATGATGAAACACTGCTGACTGATATTTTCCCAGAATACAAAATGCTGTTACAAAATACTACCTCCTGCTAGGATTGTTCATTTTAGAAGAATTTGACAAGTATAAATGTTCTCTTATCAATACTGTGAGCTTTAACCTGTCACACCCAGAAGTATTAATCATAACAATTGGAACATCACCTAATCTCCAGAAAACAACTAGAAAAAAAAGTCTAAAGAAAGAAAAACATATCAAGAACAAAAACACAGTAAGGGAGGTTGATTTATTTTCAGCTTTTCTCATCAGCTTGTTATAAGTAATGTAGGTATGTCCAAAGAAATCTCTACTTTTACAACCAAAACAAACAAAAGGAATAGGATCAAGGGTTTTTTTGTGGGTCAGATCTTCTGTTGCTCCTCCTCTGAAGTCAGTAGAAGTATACCAACTTACATCAATTAAACTTACCAGAATTTTAATAATTTGCATCTTTTTTAGGATTTGGCCCAGTAATTTCATGGTAATAAAATACTGTAGATCAGTATTTCAAGCAGAATTCTTACGAACAACGGACTGGTGACTAAAATTTCTTTACAATACCTACAAATATGCCCTTATCCTGAGCTCTAAGGACATTATGGAGCAGATAAATATTCCAAAAAGAATAAGCATGGGAAAATCCTATTTAAAAAAAAACCACAAACACAGTGGTTTATGTGAGTGTAGGTAATACAGCAAGCCTTGACAGTAAAACACACTGGTTTCAATACCCAGTGACTTATTTATTTACATGCATCTCCAACAGCATGAGAGCTGTTTGGCCCTCCAGTCTTTAGCTTGAGTAATGAGGTACTTATGAGCTGCAATTGATTGCTAGCACCAGTCTGAACTGAGACTCAAACATGACTTTAGACACATAGCAAGACTACCCCCTATGTGCCAAGAATCTGCCTTTTTGCTGGAAATAACAGCTTAAGAGCCGTTGCAGATAAAAACTAGGCGGGGGGGTTTATATATCCTTTCCTGTTTCAGCAGACCAAAGGTAAAAGTTCCACTGAGAGATTCTATTTCATCCATCTTTCTAGGATTTGGGTACATCTCATTGCACAAGACCAGGGAAGCCATTTCAAAGCTTTGGGAAGATTTATCTATTTTTGATCAGGCAATATCATCTTTATTCACTAGCATACAAAATCAGTGAATGCATATAGAAAATTTATTTCAGTTTACACTGGTAATGAATGTTATCTTATACATGAAGAAATTAAGCACTTCAGCACATGATTTTTTGTTGTACTCTTAGCAATAACTAATACCAACATTAATACCTTGTGGAACTGCTTTACTGATTGATTTAATCTCTTTGAAGCTATTTCAAAATAAAGGTGATTCTTACCAGTCACCAGGGTGATTTTTTTGTTTAAAATGCAATTGCGGTTTTTACATTGCTTGAAGTAAGAAAGAGTTCATTATGTATTTATAGTCTTTTATAGCCAAGCCCTTATAAGGTTACATGCAGGCTTAAATTTCTTCATATAAATTACTTAACAAAAA